TTGAGTGGCTTTTAGGACGAAACACTTTCTCGTGTGCGCAACGAAAACGCCCATAAATTTTTTTGTTGAGTGAGAAAATTTTTTCCTGTTCGATATGTGAACTAGGCAGTTGTTTGGTACCAAAAAAATGCTAAGCGATTGATTAGCTTGATAAGAATCTACATGTAGTTATGTTAGAAACTGATATCCCAAATTAAATGCGATTATATTAGACGTGTTTTCCTTGTTTAAGTTTCGTTAGGACCTAAAGGAAATAGATATTGTTTCCTAAAAAGATCTGTAAAAATAAATCCCTACCCTAAGACCATACATTGTAAACTATATGGGTCTCGACACACTAGTCTTTTCAGACCGTCTGCAACCGGGCGATAGGGGAAGAGAGTGGTAGTTTTCCTCAGTCTCTTCCCCCTCTCGCCCATGAAAAACCGGTTTTGGACGGTCCGAAAAAGACTAGTGCGCCGAGGATGATTTTTCTATACAAAATTATCCTTTATGACGAAGCGAATTCACTTCTCGGCGGCTATGTTGACAAGCAAAATTGTCGCATTGGGGATGGGAAAACCCGCACGTGATCGGCGAGAGGCCAAAATGCATCTATTTCGGTTAACAGTGAGTGCAACAGAGGCATGTTAAATAATTGTAAGCGGCCGAAAGTTGAAGAATGGACTTGGACGATTTTTGGTTTTAGAAGAATGGCTTGTGTTCGGCAATCGTGCTATCAGCCGTCCCGGCGATGTCGATTGGCCACCGTGGAACTGCGATTTGATGCCGTTTGACTTTTTTTTTGTGGGGTACCGTAAGGGAACGAACAATCCTTTAACGATTCAGGCCCTTAAGGCGAATATCGAGCAAGCCATTCGTGAGATAGAGCCAGAAACCGCCACTAAGGCCTTGAAAAGCTGGGTTAACAAGATGCGCTACTGCGAAGCTAGCCGAGGTAGCAACATGGAGGAAATCGTATTGCATAAATAATACTAATGTTTGCTCTTTCGAATAAACCAATAATATACCCAAAAACAGGGACAGAGAACAAAAGTTATGATGGAAACTGCATAAATGTTGTTCTCGTAATTTTGTTCCAAAGAACGCTTAAAATACATAACCGAAATAGGAACAAAAACGTCGGGAGTGTTTTTACAGGAACAAAACTGTCGAGAACGTTCTCAACGGGAATTTAATAGGCACAAAACCCTGTGGAACGTTCCCAAAGAGATCGAAATGCGAAAAATATTTTCGGGAACGTTTGTAAGAGCACAAAATCGGAATAAAAGTCTCCGCTCTGACAAAAAACAACAGGGGAACAAATGTCTAAGGAACTTTCTCTCGAAGAACAATAAAAAATAGTTCCATAAACGGACAGTTCACCCTAATGACAAACGATCTGGAAGTTGAAATTATCCAGCATTTCTCTGGTTTAGAATTGACAATCATGGTTCTCACTGAAAAGATTTTTCATGCCAACACGCAGATGCCCCTCTCATTCTTTACGTTAAGTTTTCAAAACTTTTGTTCTCGTTTTTTTCTTTGGCAGGACGTTCCCCAGACTTTTGTTCTTATTTGATCCCCCCTGAAAACGTTTTTGATACTTTCGTTCTCATTTTGTTCTCATTGGAAACATTCCCGAAAGATTCGTTTTCACAATGTTCTTCTTGAGAACATTCTCATTTTGTTCCCGTTCAACCGCTCTCAATACTTTTGTTCCCGTTTGGTTCTCTTGTGGGAACATTCTTGACATTATATTTTGTTCTTATGCAGAACTAAACCAAAACCCGAACGCGTTCTCGGTCTCTGCCCAGAAAAATGATTTACGTTAATTTTTTGGAATTTTTAAAAACAAATAACTGTATGTACCACCTTTTATGTAGCCTTTCTATTGCGTACCATACAATTTTTACTTCCCGCTTCCCTCTTCAATCACTTAAATTTTAAGCCAGTTTTTCGCCTTGGATTGACTTTATTGCCCTCTATCTGCCATTTGTAGGCAACTTAGAATAATGCTTAACATTTCTGTAGCACATTTCAACCTTCTAAATGACATTTTACAGAAGCCTCGCGCTGCGCCTTCCGCGACATTGAGGGCGCCTGCGATGACGAACACTTCTTGTAGGCGTCTGTCGGGTACTAGAGAAACGAACTGTGCAGCCAATTATCCGCAAATGGAAAGCAAAGCTAGTTCAAACAAGAATTGGTGAAACTGAAACGGAGGACAGCTTGCTACAGTTACAAACAAAAAAGTGATGTAATGCCACATAGGCAGTATACGAATTCCTACAAATTTTTTTCTGACAATGCTATCCGATTTCAATGCTTTCACTTAGGTTAAGTATTTTGTTCTAATTTTGGACTCTAAACTTCTGTGGAAGCCTCACGTTAAAGCGAACATCAAACGCTGCGAGGGCACTAATAGTGTGCTACCGTCTGACAGCCCAAAGGCCCTGAGTTGGATGTACACTGTGGTAAGAAGTACGACCAATAGTGCTCTATGGGGCGATGTCTGGGGTTTGGAGAACTACTTTAGCCACGGCCATACAGTCGCTCACCAAACTTTAACGTCTGGACTATGTATGCCTTACGAGAGCAATACGATGCTGTCCGATGACAAAATGGTAGGTAATTATCGAGATCGAGCCACTGCATATCTTTAGCTTAAACTTAACGAGAGATAGATTTGGCATAGAAAAGGCGTTATCATTCAGGAACATGGAAAAGCTGGGATCCGAGCTCCTGACAGCGCTTTTCCTCCCGAGATATATAATATTTATTAACATGAAAGTTGTTTGCGAGACGACATTTAAAAATAGAGCCCTGCAATGAGGCAATCGTGGTAAATCCATTATGTAGTGACATAGGCAGGCCAGAACTATGCAGTAGTAACGCCGATGGTATCAAAGCCAAATATGTCATTGGAGCAGATATCTATATGGCTCATGCGAAAGTTCCCGACCATTTCTCGAACGAAGGTCTACGTCTTTAGTCGGTGTGCAGAGATTTGTTTACGTAGAACCTTCCATAATGAGAGAACCTAATCTTTAGCGACAGTGAGGCGGCACTCATGGCCCTGTTACCCCTTTAAGGTTAAATTGACCTTAGAGTTAGAAGCTTCTGACTAACCTCCCTAAAGCGGAAACTTTGGATGACCACAGACATCATCGTGAGGCACCTAAAGAGACGCAATTACGCCTGCTCCTTAGTGTGGGGCCATACCCAGATCACTAGGCTCAATGTGGCGAAATAATGAGGACATGTGTATGTATTTATACTCCCTATCACCAAAAGTTTTTCTGAAATTTCTAGGGATTCAATGATTAAACATGTGGTGTTATGATAAGTAGAGGGCACAATACATCTTTTAATCATCTATTAATCTGATTGTCATCACGAGAAGTGCCCCAAAATTACGCTTTTATGCGCTAATTGAATCCTGAGTGGCAACTTGGGTAGCACCACAACCAAACAAGCAACCAATATTGCCACTTTTATAGAACTTTCACGTACCTCTTTAAAAGTAAGTCTCGAAAACACAAAGTATGGCAGGAAAAATATTTTTTTTTTTAATACATATATTGAATAAGTGTTGCTTTATTATTTCATGTCGTCTCTGTGGCTCGGTTTTCTTAAGATTCTTTTAAGCTTTTTTTGATTAAAGTACCACAAAGATTTATGACAGCATTAGTAAAGCAAATCGCGTAGAGTAAGTGGCCTAAACGGGACAATACCATTATCTATGGCGCCCACAAAGTGGACTTAGCCATTAAAAGCATGCAATAATAGAGAACAAAGCGGCTTTACAATAGCCAAAACTCAACTAGTCAAATGGCCTATTGGGCGCTATTAGGTGGCTAGCGAATTTGCGAACAGCAAAAACACAAAGGCACACATTTGTATGAACTTTCAATGCGCTCTTATCTTGCTATGAGAGTGGAGACATTTTTCCGCGCATTCTAGCTGGCACTGAGTCAAACTTTAGATATCAAGTCCATTACGATTCGTCGGGAAAACCAAAAATGCGCATTAGTGAAACTATGTGCGGTGTCTGGATACTCCGAAGCATAGACATTTTCAACGATTATTTATACATTAGGGTGGTCCAGAATAAATAAAGTCGGAATTTTAATACTCTCACCACCTAGGATTGCTCTATATCGAATAAAATAAATTTTGAAATCAAAAATATTTAGAGGTTTTCAAAGCGCTCAAAGTTTTCATTGTATTTTATATAGGGGAAAACAACTTTTCGCAGAAATGTTATAGAACTCTTGAAAATCAATATTTTTCGATCGAAAAACTCTGGTTTTCTTCAGGAGACTTCCAATAATAATACCCACTTGTTTCTTTAAAAAAATTTTTATACTAAAGATTTTTTTATTTATCCCCCCATTGCATTTTCTGGCATTTTTTGGGGGTTTTGGCGTACCTACAAAATATATGTAGTAACTATGAAAAACTGGTTAATTGAGTGTTATTATTGGGAATCTCCTGAATATTGATTTTCAAGAAAAGTTGTTTTTCCCCATATAAAATACATAAATATCTTTTGATTTCAAAATAAAAAAATAGGGGTGTTCATTTTTCCTAGGGGGTGAGAGCATACAAATTCCTTCTCTACTTTTTCATATGCATTTTTGGATCACCCTACTATACATACATACATATTTACGTATGTGAGTGAGCCAAACTTGTTGGAGGGGTTGAATCTTTGTTGTGTTTTTTTGCTGCTGCTTCCTGCCTTGCATTTCAATACCAAGCGTTTACGCATTATTTTTGTCTAGCGTTGCGCCAAGCTGTGTTTACTGGAAACTTGAGCTTTCCTAACAGTCGCGTAAATAATATAAAAATGTAATTATTGTTGTTGTTGTCGCTTGCTGTCGCACATTTATTACGCGTAAAAAAAAACAGAAATATAAATCTCTCTATGCCATTAACTCAAGCCTGTGTGTGTGTGTTCGGGCGTGTCTCACAGGACATGCCAGCCAACCCCTGACACTTTTTCTAGAAAATTATTGCGAAAAAATTAAATTGTGACGTAGTAAGCTCGCTCCAGTGCACAGCCAAAAATAACACATAGTAAATATAAAGCTGCTGCTTGGAAAGTGTTCACCGCTATACTAACAGTACAAGGTGCATGTGTCCCCATTGCAGTTCTATAAAGGCGCAACATGTTTCGAGCGCCAGTTGAAATGCAAATTTGAAATATTCAAGTAAAATATCAAAACAGTTCTTATGTGACTATAAAGCGAAAGAGAACAAAAAATCCTTTGGAAAATATTACACAAAAATTACAAGTGCAATCTAACAGTGAAATCGTGCAAACCAGCATAAATAACAAAAACACCGTTATAGCACTGCAAACCCGTAGCTATGGATAGTTCACCCGATCTATCCTTGAAGTTACGTCGTGGCTCCAGCGATTCGCGCGACAACTTCTACATGGATTTCGCGCAAGGCATCGACTCTGACATCGAAGAGGTGGATAATAGCACCTTGACGCTGGAACCTCAACAAGCACCGCCACCACCCTTGCCGTTCGTGGCACCCGAAGATGCACTTGCCGCCGCTGGTTTTATACCGCCTCCACCCCTAGCCATGCAGGGCCAACCGCTGCCAACGCTCACCGAACATGACGACCTGCCACCAACACCACCACCGCACCACTCAATCGGCATCGCAGACGATTCGCCACCCGCCTCGCCAACCTCATCTGTACTCGAAATGATTCCACCACCACCACTATCGCCACCCATGGCCACACCACCGCCTGTTCGCGCCATGGCACCACCTTCGCCGCCAATTGAAACCGAAGATGAGGGTGACGATGCTGGCGATGAGGAGGAAGAAGAGGATGATGACAAATCCACTCCGCCACCGCCGTTGCCACCGTTGCCTTCAAATTTTTCTTATGTGCATGGTAACGGTGTACATGGACCTGGTTTGTCGGGCGCGGGCGTAGCTACACCACCGGTCACTAAGTCACCATCAACCTCCCCTTCGCCACCAGACACCCCACCGCCATTACCTATGAAGTTGGCTTCGCCACCACCATCCCTGCAAATGCAAATGCCCATGCCGCCATTGACACCGCCTTCGGAGAGTGATCAATCGCAACCTAACTCACCGCCGCCATTGCCACATCATGCCCCAGTACCGCAGTCACCAACACGTTCAGCTGGCTCGGTTGCTAGCTCAGCTGGGTCTCAGCCCCGCTCGATAGGTTCACAACAGCGCGTAGTCGTGGGTTCACCACCACACGCCACCAGTTCCCAACTACGTTCAATGGGATCACCTCAAGGCTCGATTGCCTCACCGCCACATTCGGCGGGTTCTCAGCCACGTTCTATTGGTACGCCACCACGAAGTAGAGATCCTGTGGCAGATCGTTCAGTTACACCACCGCCAGATTTCGGAGAGCCTAGTGATGTGATTGCAGCCGCCTTAGCTGCAGCTGTTGAAGTGAAATCAGCTGAACTGATTCAGGGCATTACCCACGGTGCTGCCTATTATATGATCGACGAAACCAAATCATCAAATGAAGATGAGTCCACGACTATAACCACCCCGCCGAGTAATGGGTATTCGGCGTCTTCTATCATTGCCCCACCCGCTGATCAGTTGGGTGAGTTGGAGCAGGATGTCGGTTTGATGTTAGCTGACATACCACCCCCACCAGGTATGGAAGATGAAGCACCAGAAGAAGATCAGGTCGAAGGAATGGAAATAGAGGAAGAAAGTAAAAAGCAGGCAGAAGAGCCTATGGAAGTCGACGAATTAATTGAAGAAGGTGAAGTTTCAAGTGAAAAAACTCACATGTCTGAGCGTCAACTAAGCGATGCTGTAACAGAGGATCACACAACTGCCGATACCCCAGCAGACGAGGTGGTTGAGGCTCGTGGCACGCCGACATCACAAGCAACACCGCGTAGTACGCCGCATCCTACACCACCACCCTCTGGTTCGCCTAAGAAAAAACGCAGTAGTGTAACCGGCAGCGGTGCCGGCAGTCGTGGCCCAAGCCGTAGCGCTAGTCGTAGCGGTAGCCACAGCGGTAGTCATGGCGGTAGTCGCACTGCTAGTCGCAGCGGCAGCGTACGCGGCAGTATTGCATCACGTGCAGGTAGCATAGCAGCCACCTCGGTTGCTTCGGCTGCAGCATCCATTGCATCTGGTTCGCATGGCGCTATTGAAGTAGCAGCGGCAACGGCAGCAGCTGTGGCATCACCGCAAACCTCAGTCAAGTCGGTACGCAGTCAACCGTCAATAAAGTCGTCTTACTCTAAACATAGCGCATCGCCACCAATGATGAAAAGTCCACCGGAGGGCGATCGAGCACCGGTGATGCCATCGCCACCAACAATGCGCTCACCACTTCTATTAAAGAGTCCACCATTAATGCATAGTCCACCGAAGGTGACCAGTCCACCGAGAGTGTATAGTCCACCGTTGGTAGGTAGTCCACCTACGCGCAAAACGGATGCTGGAGATTTGAAAAGAGAAGAGGAAGAAAAGCAAGCAAAGGGTGCAGCTGCAAGGTAAGTGCGCCATAACCTTTTATTACCTTCCTATATGTATATTGAATTTATTATAAAAATGGGAAAATCACTTTTGGCGAAATGAAGATGGAAGATATTGAATGCAAAATACAAATTTCAGTAAATCATGCAAGGTTATTGTTTGGAGCGAGTTGTCAAAACAAATACGACTACTTTTTTTTCGTGTTTCAAAAAAATCATAATGTTGTTTTTTTTTTTTAAATAACTTTGGGAAGTTTACTAATAGAATGTTCATGTTAAAGGTAATGAAAGTTGTTATCATTTACAACATACCCGTGAAGTTTCAAGAGTGTGCCACCAAGTTAAAAAAAAGTGGCAGCATGCAGAATATCTGGTGTAGCTATTTTGTAATTTTTGAAATCTAATGATTTTTTCTTTTTTTGAAGTTTAAGTTACTTCAAAATTTTAACACTAAACGGTGAAAATATTCTTCTTGCCCAGACGAACCAATCACGAGTAATGAAACTAGTGTGCTACAAAAAAAAAAAATACATTGATTACACCGTGCGACAGTAAATTTTACACACAAAAAAAAATGAATATATTCGCAAAAATATAGGTAAATTGCAGTAAAACTGCGTACTTAGTTTTTCTCTCTGACGTCAGGATTTTTTTTAAAGGACTTTGAAGTTTAAAAAATATGATTATTTAAAAAAATTATTTAAACAATTGAGTGCAATGTAGGATAACAATAAGGATATCGTGTAAAAGAAAAAATTCTGTGTATCTATAAAAGAATAAATTTTTTGGTGCATAAGGACGAAAGGGTATAGAAAATGACCTTTACACATTTTGTCCTTAAATATCCTTGTAAATTTGCAATATTTTTTTTTTTATTAAATTATTGTTCGAGGACTAATATACGCATGACCTCATCAACGAATTTCGTCCTACAAATTTTATCAATTTAAAATAATAAAATTTATTTAAATTAAATTTCAAACCAAAAAAACCTTATTGTTTTTAAATTCTTCAGATTTTTCTCTCTCATTTGGTACCCATATTGTTATTCTACATTGCACTGAGTTTTTAAATAGTAATTTTTTGAATTAATCATATCTTTAAAATTTCAAAGTCCTTTGAAAAAAATTCTCACGTCAGAGTGAAAAACTAAAAACGCAGTTTTATTATATTTGGCCCATTGTTTCGTGAGTATATGGATTCTTTCGTGTGTTTTGAAATTTTTTTGTTTGGTCGCACGCTGTTATAAGATTACGATGCTTTGGAAACAAAAATTCCAAATTTACAATTCATTCTAAAATTGTTATCTACATGAAGAAATTAATGTATATGTATATTCGTCGAGAATACTAAAGAAAAATATTTCAAGTCAATATTTAATTATTTTTTTAATAATATGGCTTTTAAGTTAAAGCGTGCGAGTAAACATGTTGTCTGCCTATGTATGGAGCTACGGGGCGCATACGTTATACACGCGCTACGAGGCTATGAGCACGAGTTGTTATTTTTAAATTTTTTAGTATATCTTTTTTAAGCTTTCATTTAAGTACAATTTCACGCTGGAATCTTGTTCTTTATGAAAAACTGCAGATAATGCATTCTCTAAGATAAGTGTGCCACCATTTTCGACCAAAAACACGTTCTTGTCGAAAACTGTAACAACTCGTGAGATTTGCTCATATGAATGTATGTGTGTATATACAATATGTCCTTTGGTTGGAAACTTTGAGAAAATTTCGTTTTTATACAAATACCCGGAAGCAACTTTTACTTACTTTAATACAGATGATTGTAGTTAGATAGGATTTAATTTATTAGACTACACGTAAATATACTATGTACATACATGAGTGTATATACACATATAACATTGTAAAGAAGAGTGGTGAAACGGTTGCAGAAGCGGGTTAAAGCGCAATCTATTTATAAAACACACATAGGTATGTAAGTATGCGTGTATGTATGTACATACATGTTGAGTCGACTGCATGCAAGTGCAACAGCATGCAAAAGTACTTGTATGCATTAAATTGCATGTGCATTGCCATGCAGTGGTGACGTATTCGAAGTCATTGTCCTGTTTGCAAACAGTCATGGCATGACATGGCCTTTTTCCACTCTAACACTTGTTTGTATAAACTACACACTGATGTACTACATATATATCTACATACATACATACATAAATAGTTGCTGCAACTACTTGCATGAATGTCATTATTTATTAATGTAATGGAAGAAAAAAGTAATGCGGAAGAAATTATAGAAATGTGAGGTTGAAATTAGAGGCAGAAAGGATAGCGAGATTATACTACATACATACATAGTAAGGCAATAGGTACATAAATATATATGTATGTATGTAGATCAGACTGCATCACTCCCCATAAAAAAAATCGGTAATGTTTTCCATTGTACGTATAAAATCTATTATATTCTAAGACTTGCGCCAAAATATTTAAAGATTTATGTGAACGGGATCGATTTGAAAATACCTACGAAAATTTAGTTTTTTATGAATAAAAATAGTTTCTTAAGTATTCTTTGGAAAAATCACCTCAGATGGCACCATTGGAAAGCTATTTTCTCATCCTGTTTATTATTATTTGTTAATAAACTCATTCAAAGTATGAAAGAGAAAGGCAAGGTGAACGAGCGTCATTCCAAGTTGAATTATTATGTGTTGATATTTGCAAATTGGAACTTGAAGGAGTTTCTGTGCAAAGAAATAAACAGGGTGAGAAAACACCTTTCCAATGATACCTCACAAGTATAGTTTTGGTCCTGTTATTCAAGTTTTTTTTTTTTAACCAATCTTTGAAAAAAGTTGAAAAACAGCATTAAATTTCTCATTATTATGATTCCGTAGAAAATTTGTTTAAAATATTTTTATGCAATTTTTTCAGCTTAAACTGTTCTATCATGTGGGGCGACTTTTTTGAAAAAATCCTTTAGTGAACAATTTTTTATTCATAAGAAACTCCCATTTTTGGAGGCATTTTCAAATCTGTACAGCTCACGTAAATCTTAATATTTTTCCGAAATATTTTAGTGGAAGTTTTCATATTAAATAAATTTTTTAGTCCCGGTGGAAAAACTGTCACTTTTTTGGTGATGCAGTCTAATGTACCTATGTTTTTATAACTTGTGCCATTGATTCTTGACAAACCTTTTATAAAGACACATCTGCATTAAGGTGGTTTACCTTCGATACAAAAAAGTAATTATATCTACTCTTTTAGTATGGTTTCGGCCATAACTAAATTGCTCTGAAAATCGTATACTCCATGGGAAATAGTTGTATTGGAATTTTCTCTGCGAAATGGTTTTATTATTTCATTTTTTATTTTTTGAATTTCATTTATTAATTAAATTTTTTTGTTTTATTTAATTGTATTTTATTTTAGATATTCTTTTATTTTGCCGTTCCGTAGAACAGCCATATAAAATACCCAACTTTATGGATTTTGTTAATAAAAAAAATTTTTGTTTGGAACTTAGGACTACTTGAGAAGTAAAAGAATTTTTAAATTACATTTACAACCGGTTCAAAAACCACATTTCCAATACATTTCGATCGTTGGTAAATTAGTTGTTAATTATAATAAATAAATGCTATTGGAATTTCCGTTAGTTATTCGAACCAAGTGCGGACAGGATCTTGAACGATATTTATGCCCCAGAAGAGAGCTCTAATTTTATTAGTTTACACAAAAAAAAAAAAAATACTTAGTTCAAAAAGTGTTTTGTAGTCCATTGCATACTCAGAATCTTGCGGGGAAATCTAATTAAAAAAGCTAGAAATTTTTTCGAATTTTTGCTGATTTTTTTAGAATATTGCATAAAGTTTAAAACACGGGGTTTGTTGAAGAATGAACTATATTTTTATAAAAAAATAACCAAAATCAAATTACAACAAAAATAATATGTTAAAACGTGTCAAAATATGGTGCGGCTATAATTATTTCGGCCAATGTATATTGAAAAATAAAATGCTTTTCTGCCGAAAAAATTTATCTTTTTACTCAAAATGGCAGTAGGTATTTAAATTACAGGAAAATTTTTACTTAAAATAACGCGATCTATGTACAAAAAATATGTAAAAAATTTAAACTTTAATTAATTTCCGCTCTTTCAGCGATTTGCTTTGGTTATCAGCAATTTTCTAAAATCAAATTAAATAAACCATCACATTTACAAGTCGTGTGTAAACAATAGCAAGCAAAGTCGACAGATAATCGCATTAAAACAATAGAAAAGCACAGTTGCACATATATACATATACATACATAGCAACAATCAGCGGATGGATATGAGGTCGCCGTATCAAAACCACAACAATATTGGCGTTAATTCACGCCAACTTTTCTTTTGTCGCTTAAGTCAACAGTGTCGTGTGGGTTTGTGTGCGTATTGTGACATACATACATACATATGTATGTACATACGCTCATATGCCATAATCATAGCTTATTTAGTGGCGCACAAACAAGCGTAGTGTGCGTGGGGAAGTGTTTATGTGTGTGTACGCTCTGCATTTCCTTTGCCTTTGTCTGGTGGAGTTCGATGCGAGGTGAAAGTGTTGGCGCGCCGCAGAAAAAAAACACAAAAGCCATAATCCGTTGTCATCCGCATACCCCTCACACTCACTCACCGCCCTTTCCACTTGCCATTACAGCCGGCGATTTGCCAAAGCGCAGACGATTTTTATGAGTTCTTTGTTTTGCAGGCGTGTTGTGCTTCCTTCGCCTATTCGCAATGTGAGACCACCCCAATAAGCAGACCACCCCCTCACCCCCATTTTTCCAAACGTCAGTTATTTTTGCTTTATGTCGACATCGTTTTTTTTTGTGTTTTTTGTTTTAGGAAATTGGAGTTTCAAAACAAAATGCAAATCCGCTTGGCAGCACTGGCGCCCCACAACCTCTTCCCCCAAATGTGAGGGGGGAGTGAGTATATCCGCCCGCATGTTTAACTGCATCGAGTCGCACATTTTGCCCTCGCATGCTTCGACGCAA